CCCCCCCCCCCCCCCCCCAATCCCCATTGATCGTAATCTACTTCATAGATCCATACTAAAAAAATTAAAATATAAAAATTCAGTATCCAATTTCCTACTTTTTTTAGTATCAAAGATTCAACTTACAAGGAATCATCCAAAATATTTATTAAAACTATTTCAAATGGAAAAAGGTTCTTATTTAGAGATCTATATATGTCTAGTAAATCTTAATATCAAACACATAGTTACCATGTTTGGATTGAACTAGCTGATCTGCCTTATAAATCAATAAATTTTCGAGTAAAGTTCATTTCAAAGTTGGACCTCGTCTTTGGTTTTGACAGTTCTTGATCGAATCTTTGACAAAAAAGTCCAACGCTAAATTGAACCAAGCTCCATGGCTAGTCTGGCAATTTTGTTGCTGAATCTATCGTTTTGATCCAATTTCGATAATTATGAATGATCAAACATATTCTGATTCGTATATGTATAGTAGAGAGAACGATACAAAATTTAATTAACAATTTTAAAATTAGATGGGATGGCGATGAATTCTTTAAGCATTCCCTATAAATATTAGTGCGTACAAAAGTGATATTAAAGAGTACAATTTTTCACAAAAATGAACGAGTATTGTAAATCGACAACTATCAAGCACAAAAGAAGGAAAGATGAGGTAGTATTGTAATAGAATCAAGAGCAGTACACGACAATTTTTGAAAGATGAGGAGAGACAATAATGGCTGAAAATGTATTAGTGTATTGCATTTAGAATTTATAAATTGTTTTATTACCAACATATATATACACCATTTTTTTAGTTCATTTTCAACGACAAACGTGCAGTTCAGGTGAAGATTTTTGTCCAAACGTTGGCGAAATTTTCTCTTCTGGAATGAAATAAATATTTAGGGTGTGTTTGAGTCACATTATTTTGAAAGAATGTATTCTGGAAAAGTAGGAATGAGTAGAAGAATGAGAATGAAATTTTTAATGCGTACAAAACAGTGGCTTAGTTTGAAAAAAATGAGTAAACAAAATGGTGGTCCAACCTGAGCTTAATTTTTAACGCAAAAATAGGACCAGTAATTTTAAGTTTTTGAAAAATTCTGTCAAAGCTAAGCTTGATGGTCAATTAAAGTGGGACCAAAGTTTGGAAATAGAGATAAGCAAACCTAGAAAGAGGATCCAAGAGTTATATATCAGAGAGTGTTTATAGGCACTTAGATGCATATCAAAATTCAGCAAAACCATTTGTACAGAAATGGTTTTGCCAGAAAGTCACCAGAATACTCACAATGTCGGGCTCCACCGTGTGTGTCTTCTGTGGCATTTGCTTCTGTACACGTAGCAGGGCTCATCAAAATTTTATTTTGTAGTGAATTTATATAAGTGTTTTCGAATTTCCGCTTCTTTCACGGCAAAAGTCGTCAATATGAATTTTGAATTCACACGCAACATTCACGTATTTAAAGTAGAAGGCACAAGAGTCAAATTACTTAAAGGTCCATTTGACAGGCTAGTGCTTTTATTTTCTACTTGCAAAAGATTGTTTGGTTCTAAAAAAAAGGCTATTAAAGAAAGCCACATTGAGTCATTTTCATTTAAAAACTAATTTATTTAGTTAATTAGCAGAAATACTTTTATAAAATTTAATCATACGATTGAAAAATAATTTTTAAATCTTAAAAGCTCCTTTCAACTTATCCAAAAATCATGTCAAATGGGTCATAAATCCGGCACCACAACCCTTATAAATAAAATTTCTGAAATTTACAGGACGAAAATCTTATTTCTAAAACTACTGAAAAATAGTAGTATATTTGATTAAATTTAAATCACTTGACTCCACATTTTTTTATTTCAATTAAGCACAAAATCTTGCCTTGATCAGTCCTAAACGTTATTCAAAACAAAAGAGTCTTCAATCTGTATCATTCTTCATTCGAATCCAAAATCGCCTTTAATTTTTACTCAAAATTCGAAGCCTTAGATTATCCTTTTCCATCTGCAACATGATCTGTGAAGACCAACTGTGATTGTTCACAGCTAAGCGTAGAATTTTTTTCTACACAAAAGTTCGATCTGTGCAATTTCATTCATAAATCATCCTTTTAACAAGCCTTTCAAGCGATTACTCGTTCAAGATCAAGCTTCAAACCCTTTGTAATGGAAACCCCTAAATTACCAACTACAACTATGGGCTCAGACAAGAAGAACCAGTCGCGCCATACCGCACCATCGAAATAGCAAACTAGATCCCCCAGGTCCAGGACCAAAACGGGTCAGTTGCTATATTCTGAAACATGATTTAGCAATGATGTTATGTTTCATATCTTCTATTTTTCTTATAACCAATGTCAAAACCGATTACTTTTTCATTGCAGTCAGGGCTACGGTGTATATGTTACAAAGTTCGTTGAGTACGTAATCAACGGGGAGATTCAGCAAATAGCCAAAGTTTTAGTTCCCTCAAGTGCTAGAACAAGCCTCACACATCACTGTTCAAGTATGGAAACGAAAAAGGAAGTGGGGATTATGAAACTGATTCTGACCTCGTCCCGAGGAGTGTGGAAGATGGTCGACAATACATAGATGTATAAGGTTAACAATTATGCAGTTGTCTCAGGTTAACAATTAGAATCTCTTTGGGCAAAATTAGGCACGTTTCGAATATTTTACAAGGGGATGGGAGAATTTGTTCTGAATTGTAGGTATATTTGTTGCTGGAGAGGAATTTTGAGTAGATTTCCACACTAAATAATTCAGATATACAAGTTTATCAACTCTAAGTGTGATTAACATAAGAATAATACCAATCGCAATCGCAACACAATCAGACGACCAGTGTATTGATCCATGTATCCCTATCAATAATTATGTAGGGAATGACGAAATTATGTTATATGAAATCGCACAAGGAATGACTTAAAGGTTTTGATTCTTCAGGTCGAACTGTTGCTACAACCAGAAAATCTTCTGCATTTTTATGATTACCTTTTTAAATTGATTTTTTGAATTTGCTAATGTTATGGGCGTGTAATTAAAGGCATAATATATGACTGTATTTGAATTTTCGGTTACAAAGATGTTGATGGGAGAAAATTTTGGGGCAGTTATTTATGGGTTTATTATTTCTTGTGCAGTATTTTAGATGTATTTATAGGATTTTTATTTTTAGTTAATTTAGATATGATTTTTTTTTTCCAAATGGCTTTTCATATTACACATTACCAAAGTGCTAACCTCGTACTTACACGATCATACCTTAATATTTTTTGTTTACTCTTTGGAATGTAGCATACATGCCCCAAAAAAGCGTCTCAACTCAGGATTGAGAGGTTTTGACTTTTATGAAACAGCAGAACCCGGTCTCCGCCACGTGAAGGAAACAGCCATCTGATCAACGGTTTCTTTACAACGCAGTTAATGCTCGCATTTACTATGGAAACCTGTTTTACATCCTCAAAATTTAAAAAAGCATTGTTTTCAATTTTTTTTTTTGAAGAACGTATGGTTAAAAAATACTCCGTAAAAGTTTTGAATTTATTTATAGAATATTTCATTGTTTGAATGTATAATTAAAAATGAGTATAAAAAATAAATTAAAATAAAGAAAGTCAAACGGGGCGAAAAATCATACAATTATATAACTATAAGAGAGAGAAGAAAAAGACAGTACACACACAGTAAACTAGAGAGATAATTTCGTTTGGTGGAGGTGTAAAGAAAGATAGAGAAGCAAAGAGCTGAAGAAACGGAAGAACAGCACACCGACACTGTATAGTGTATTTAATATCCTCATTTCATCTTTCTAACTTTTCTTGTTTCATTTTTCAACTCATTTATTAATTTTATTGGGTTTTTAATTTCTTCCATGGTGGTTTTGGAACTCTGCAATAAAAGCTTGAATATTTTTTTGTTCATATGTAAAGTCACCTCATTTTTCTGAATACCATAAAAACCCTTGTATCTTTTTCTTCATTTTGCTCTAATAATCAGATCTTTTCATGGTATTTTGTCCCTTTTTGTTTGTTGTTTAGATGATTTTCTGTGATGAATGATGTTATATTTTCTTTCAGTTTCAAGTTAAAATGATGTTTGGATTTGGTTATGACAGAAAGGGATTAGCAGTGAAGAGAAGATAAGCAAACCCTAATCTCAACCGTTTCATCATTTAGCAAAGCTTCGAAGGGGAAAAATGTATGGAGATTGCCAAGTACTTTCATCAATGGGAGGGAATACTATTCCCTCTGATACCCTCTATTCTTCGTCGATCCAGAACCCCAACTTCAATTTCATGGCAAACATTAATCCTTTCAACATTTTTTCTCCCATTGCGGCCGTAAGTTACAAGGATCTCTCTCGTCTACATATTTGATTTCATTTACATGAAATATTTTCAGGGAAATTAGCATTTTGAGACTATTACTTCTATGCAGAAAGAAGAAAATGTTTTAGCAAGCAAAGAGGAGATGGAAAGTGGTTCCGGGAGTGAACACATGGAAGGTGTGTCTGGAAATGAGCAAGAAACCGAGGTACAGCCGCAGCCGAAGAAGAAACGTTATCACCGCCACACCGCTCGTCAGATCCAGGAAATGGAAACGTATGGATTAAATTACCTTTCTCCTCACTATGTGCGTCTATGTTGTTTTGTGTGTCCAATATCCCGTTTGCAAAATAAGACAGTTGAACGGCCAAGGTGAAATGCCACTCGAAACCAGGCTATAGCTAGTGTGTGAATGTGTGTGCCATGTTTAATGGGGATTAAAATTAGATTTTTAATGAATTTTAACAAAAGTGGATGAAATGTTTGATAGAAAAATTGTGAGACCAATGAAATATATCGTTAAAATTAATTGTTAACTTTTACTTTAATTAAAATTTAAATTTTAATCGGTATAAACAGGGTAAAGAAGCTTCAATTTGCAATGTTTTCTCTATTTATTATATATATATATATGTGTGTGTGTACATAAATTAATTGTTAATTATAAATTCTTCAGGCTGTTTAAGGAATGTCCACACCCGGATGATAAACAGCGCATGAAACTAAGCCAAGATCTTGGCCTCAAGCCACGCCAGGTGAAGTTCTGGTTCCAAAACCGCCGAACCCAAATGAAGGTAAGCACGTTAACGTCATATTCATCTCCTCTCTCTCTCTCTCTCTCTCTCTCTCACCATTGGGTGTGTGTTTGTGAGAAACCCTAAAACTAGCTCTATTCCCAATGACGACTGTGTTTATCATAATTACACAAGGTCAAAAATGGAAGTCCAAGAACTATAAAGTAAAAACGCGTACGCTAGCGCGAGTAGCTTCTCATTAATTTTGGGTCGTTTTCAAAGACTAATCCATTAATGTACGCCGTGGGGTTGCATAGTCAACCCTACCACCACTGCTGCATGGGCATCCGTTTAGGGTTAACTAAGAAACCCTTTAATATCTGTAAATGGCTAAAATGGATCTAACGTAAGTATTTTGTGTTAATTAATGTAGGCACAACAAGACAGGCAAGATAATGTACTACTAAGGACAGAAAATGAGAACCTTAAGAATGAGAACTATCGGTTGCAAGCAGCATTAAGGAATATTGTGTGTCCAAACTGTGGAGGTCCAGCCGTACTGGGAGAGATGGGGTTTGATGAACAGCAGCTTCGAATCGAAAATGCCCGTCTCAAAGAAGAGGTACGTAGCTTTTCAAGATCTGTCTCTAGAGTTTTTCTTGTATGGAAAGTGAAAGGAAATAGATTGCTTTTCAAGTTAAGCATGCCATTGTGGTTTGCATGTTAAAATTCTTGTTATTTTGCATTTTCTAGTTACCAAACAATTTTCAAGAAAATACTAACTTCATTTTCTTGATGATCGAAATGTTTCAATCAGCTCGAGCGTGTATGCTTTCTTGTTCAACAATACAATGGAAGGCCAATCCAGGGAATCGGACCAACTTCTCTCCTCGCCCCTTCCTTGGACTTGGATACGAGTGTTTATCGAAGAAAATTCGAGGAGCATTGCTCTGATATGATCTCTTTACCTTTTATGCCTGAAAATCCCCAGTTTCCGACAGGGAATGCCCTGATCTTGGAAGAGGAAAAGGCTTTAGCTGTTGAATTGGCAATGTCATCTATGGATGAACTCGTGAAAATGTGCCAGACAGGCGAACCACTGTGGATCCGAGCAACGGATACTGGGAAGGAAGTACTGAATGTAGAAGCGTATGAAAGAATGTTTTCATGGTCTATGAATCTCAAGCATCAGGAATTCAGGGTCGAGGCCACCCGGGGCACTGCCATGGTCATTATGAATAGCGTTACCCTGGTTGATGCATTTTTAGATGCAGTACGTCTTTAGTTTCTCTTTATTCGCTAAACTAACTTTGAAAATCATTTTTGGAAAAACAAATAAGTACATCATCACCAATAGGATAGGACCACATCAAAGTTTACATAATGTCATGTTACACTCTATCATTAGACAGTGTAAAACACACTTAACTTTTTTATCCAATTATTTCCCTCAAACTCAATCTTCTTGGACTGCTTCTGGATCGTTCTTTCTGTACAAATAGCATAATTGCTAAGGATAACACCCTGCATATTTGTTATATCCACCCCGGGGGTGAGGGTTGTTACTATGAGAAATATTATTATTCTTGAACCCAATTCCTGTAGTATTTACGGGTATAACGAGTAATTGAACCGAGTGGATTATTTATGAATGACATTAATGTCAATAGTTAATTCTTTGCAATGTATTTGATATGTCTAATGTCCTTGTTTATTTTCAGAATAAATGGATGGAACTATTTCCTTCCATTATTTCAAGAGCAAAAACACTTCAAGTAGTACATTCTGGTGTTTCTGGACATGCCACTGGTTCACTTCATTTGGTGAGTATTTTCTCAATTAAATCTTGTTCATTTTTGAATATTTTTTTTACGATCTCTATATATTTGATAATCTTTTCTTATCATTTGACATTCACAGATGTATGCAGAACTACAAGTTCTTTCTCCGTTAGTACCCACAAGAGTGGCTCATTTCCTACGCTACTGCCAACAAAATGCTGAAGAGGGAACCTGGGCAATTGTTGATTTTCCTCTCGAAAATTTGCGAACCAGTTATCCACCTTCTTTTCCTTATTACAGACGACGTCCCTCAGGATGCATTATACAAGACATGCCCAACGGTTACTCTAGGGTAAAGCCTAATTATTTTTGAACTTTTTCTTAAGAAAATGGTATATGTGGTCGGAAATTCGTAAGGAGCACAGTGACTAAGTAAGTTGTCATTCGAGTTAATCCAGGTAACATGGGTAGAACACGCAGAGGTTGAGGATAGTCCATTTCATCAAATTTTCAATTATTTTGTGAGTAATGGTATGGCATTTGGAGCGCAGCGTTGGTTAGCAGTTTTGCAGCGGCAGTGCCAGAGGTTTGCTAGCCTCATGGCAAGAAATATATCAGATCTTGGAGGTGAAACTACTCGTTTCCTATTTATGACCTATTATTACACGTAATGTTCACACATTTATATGCTTATGCCGAAATATATTAGGGCATTTGAATATTCCTATCGGCCACAGGTAAAATAATTTGGAGGATTTATTTCAGTTTTAGTCCGAGAAGCATGAGATTCTAGTGAAAATTTGCATCGACAAATCCTATGTTTGGCGATTATAAACCAAACAACTTATCCACATATTTAATGGGATCCATGGATACTATTTATTTATTCAGTATTTGTTGATAAACACTTGCCAAACATAGTAATACATCGTGTGAAATAACGAGTACACTTCATTTATATACATTGTAGTATTGTACAATGATCATGTATGTTGGCCATATACATGGATCTGTGAATACATAATCCTAAAAATAAAATTGACACATTAATTTATTACCTGTTTTAACAAATGATCATGTATGTTAGCATATTATAACCTGTTTTTATATACAAATGAACAATTTTTATTGTGATTTTGTTCGTGTTTCAGTACTCATTTTCATTGTTTTCTGCTACATTGACAGTTATCCCATCTCCTCAAGCGAGGAAAAATCTGATGAACTTGGCCCAGAGGATGATAAGGACATTCTGTCTTAACATAAGCACTTCTTGTGGTCAATCTTGGACCGCTCTTTCTGATTCTGCTGAGGACACTGTCAGGATAACCACAAGGAAAGTTACAGAACCCGGCCAACCTAACGGCTTAATTCTCAGTGCTGTATCCACTATTTGGTTACCATTTCCTCACAACCATGTATTCGATTTCTTGAGGGATGAACAACGTCGAGCTCAGGTAGTTTACATGCATAAACCAATAACTTCTTGGAATATTTACAACCCGTTGGATGTTCTTTGCAATGGGAATTCTTTCCAATTATAAATTTATAAATTCTTTCCAGTTATGAACAAGATTTAATTATAAATTTGATGTGTATTCCACAGTTGGATGTTCTTTCCAATGGGAATTCTTTACATGAGGTTGCTCATATTGCAAATGGTTCTCATCCTGGAAACTGTGTCTCTCTTCTTCGGATCAATGTAAGTGATGAGTTAATCTCTGGGTCGAGTTTAAAAATATTCGTCTCAATATCTTTATATAATGCTGGCAGGTTGCTAGCAATTCATCTCAGAATGTAGAACTGATGCTTCAAGAGAGCTGCACAGATGATTCTGGCAGTATCGTAGTATACACGACCATTGATCTCGATTCAATCCAGCTAGCAATGAACGGTGAAGATCCGTCCTGTATTCCCCTTCTTCCCTTGGGATTCATCATATCTCCCACGGGACACACCACTAATGACTCCAGCATCACCAGCGAAGCCACAGAAAACGGGAACCTGCAGCCAGATTCCGGTTGCCTACTCACCGTTGGACTTCAAGTTCTGGCAAGCACTATCCCAACTGCAAAACTCAATCTTTCAAGTGTCACTGCCATTAATCACCTTATATGCAACACAGTTCAACAAATCAATGCTGCACTTAGTTCTGGCAATGGAAATGGCAACTGCCTGAATAACAACGGCAACTTTTTCTCGACTTCCGTGGAGCCAGAGAACTCAGAACCGGTATCTCCAACAAAGCAAAGTCGTGTCTCCACGTCCTAATTCTTCAGGGTTATAGTCTTCTAGTAAATTAATGAAGCTGTTTGGTTGGAATTGTGGATTTAGGAAGTCAAGAGCGCACCAGTTGTGTTCATGGCTACCTGGTAAGGCTAAGACTTCTGCAGTTTCTTACCAGATAGCAATGGTGGTGGTTCGGGTATTGACTTCTTTTGCTTGTTATTGCTCATCTTTGACTCCTTTTGAATGAAATGGACTATTGTCATTTTACTTGTGCCATAAAACTTTGGCAAAATTAGTTAACTTTTCAACTAATCAAACGTCAAATTTTAATAATGAACAAAGCAGCTGGAACAAATTGGGGAACTGATTTATTGATCTATCCAATTCGGTTGAAAACGAGATACAATTGCAGTATATATAGAAACAAGCTGAAGCCAGAGTCCAATAGGAAGTAGACAACACACCAATGCAATAACAGAAATATAAAAACGGAAAGGAAGCAAAAAACGTAAAAAAATAAAACACGACTTTAGGCAATTTCAGTTAAACTGATTTTGTCTTCCTGTTGAAAAGATTGCTGGTCCTTTTGCTTGCACTGTTATTCAACTGATTCTTTCATCCCCCCTCAAGTTGGAATTGGTGTATATCTCCCAATCCCGACTTGGAAAGAAGAGGAGCAAACTGAGGAGGAGCAAGAGGCTTAGTGAACAAGTCCGCAAATTGAAGACGAGACGGAACAAACTGTGGCAAGACAAATCCAGCCTTGAACTGATTTCGGACGACATGACAATCAATATCCAGATGCTTGGTTCGTTCGTGAAAAACCGGATTAGCGGTAATGTGTAAAGCAGCCTTGTTATCACACCATAATGGAATAGGTGTCATCAAAGGAATGTGAAGATCACGGAGGATGTAGGAAATCTACTGTAACTCACAAACGGTGATGCCCATACTTCGATACTCTACCTCAACTGAAGAGCAAGAAACAGTCGTTTGTTTCTTTGTCTTCCAAGAAATCAAAGCCGGCCCCAAAAAATATGCAAAAACCTGTGAGTGATTTTCGAGTATCCAGACAGGAGCCCCAATCCGCATCTGAGTAAGCTTCTAAATGAAAAGAGTTCTTGGCAGGAAAAAAAAAGACCCTTGGACGGACACCCCTTAAGATACCGAAGGAGATGTAAAGCAATATCCCAGTGGGCTTGACAAGGAGCATGAACGAATTGACTCAATTGCTGAACTCCATAGGTGATGTCAGGTCTAGTCAGGTTAAGGTAGAGAAGCCTTCCAATCAATCGTCTGTATTGCTCAAGATCAGGCAAAAGGGAACCCTCTAGAGCCATTAACTTCGTGCTCTTAGGTATTGGAACAGGAACGGATTTGGCTCCAATCAGGCCTGCATCATGAATCAGATCAAGAACATATTTCCTTTGATTAACATACATGCCATCTGTATTTCTTGCAATTTCCAATCCTAAGAAATATTTAGCATATCCCAAATCTTTGATGGTGAAAGCAGGGTGCAGGAGATTCTTAGTATCAATGATATCTTCCTCATGGGAGCCCATGATGAGAACATCATCAACATAAATCAGTAGGAATAGAGTTCTCTGGGAAAAATGCGCAGTAAACAGGCAATGGTCATGAGCTGACTGGAGGAAGCCATAACCTTGAAGCGTAATACACAGTTCAGTATTCCATTGTCGTGAGGCTTGCTTTAAGCCATATAAGCTGCGTTTAAGTTTGCAAACTTGCCCTGGTAAAGATCTGGAATAGCCCTCAGGTGGATGCATATAAACCTCTTCATCCAAGTGACGTGAAGGAATGCATTGTTGATATCCAATTGATGGATATGCCAACCTTTTCCAGCCACAATTGCAAGGAAAACTCAAACTGTTACAAGTTTAGCCACATGCGAGAAGCTGTCAAAGTAGTCGATCCCTTGCATTTGATGATACCCCTTTGCAACAAGCCTAGCCTTGTATCTATCCACTGTACCATCAGCATTAAGTTTGACTTTGTACACCCAACGGGAACCTATTGCTTGGTTGTTAGGCGGAAGAGTGGTCAATTCCCATGTCTGATTTTTTTCCAGAGCATCAAGCTCTTGTAACATAGCTTTATTCCATTCATCACTTTTGCAGGCTTGTTTATATGAAACAGGTTCCTGAGCAATTGATACATTTGCCAAAAAAGCACTATAGGAAGAAGAAAGATGCGAAGAAATAGCATAGGGAAAAGTAGGAAGAGAATACCCAGTAAGAGTGGGAGAGACCTTTGAGCAACATGAAGAAGCATCAGCAATTGGCAAATCTCGCGTGGTAGTAACATTTGTGGCAGTCTTTTAGCCAGGAAGGATGAGATGTGTTTCTGGTACTGTGTCTAATAATTGGAATAGATGAAGTAAGATGTGGTAGAGGCACACAACAAGTGTCAGATGTGGGATGAATTTCTGAGAAAGGAACCTGTATGAGGGGAACAGATTGTGATGTGATATCAGGTGACAATGGAGACTCATGGTTGGTTTCTGTAGGAGATATAGCATTTGGCATATGTGGAACAACCCTGCGGTTAGACTCTGTCAAGTCTTGATCATCATTGAAGGTGGGAAAGAGAGGTAATGAAGAATAAGATTCATCAAAATGATCATCTTTAAAAGGAAAAATGGATTCAAAAAATTCAATATCCCGGAAACAAGTATCTGTTTAGTGTCTATATCAAACACCTTGAACCCCTTCTGACCAGGATTGTACCCAAGAAAAATACATTTGTGGGATCTTGATTCAAATTTTGTTTTGTGTGGCTTGATGTTTGCTATATAACATAAAGAGCCAAAGGTTTTAAATAATGAATAATCTGGTTTGTAGCCAAATAATTTTTCAAAAGAAGTTTGCCAGTGAAGAACCTTTGTAGGAAGTCTGTTGATGATGAAAGTGGCCATCAACAGGAAAAATGACCAGAATTTTTTTGGCAAATGAGCCTGGAACATTAAAGATCTGGCTATTTGAAGCAAATGTTTGTGTTTTCTTTCCACCACCCCATTTTGCTGAGGTGTATAGACGTAGGTTTTATGGTGAAGAATACCAAACATTTTGAAGATATTCTGGTTCATGACTAAGGAACTCAGTCCCGTTATCAGTTCTTATACATTTCACCTTTTTATTGAATTGTGTTTCCACCATTCGAAAGAAATTATCTAGGGTTTTTGCAACTTGTGTCTTATGCACAAGTAAGAAGGTCCAAGTAGAACGACTATAATCATCAACTATTGTAAGCATGTAAGGTGTGGCTGTGAGTGAAAATTGTCTGTAAGGCCCCCAGAGATCAACATGGATAAGGTTGAAAATGGCTTCTGTATGAATAGTGCTGATAGGAAAAGGGCTTCTCTATTGTTTAGCCTTGTGACACACATCACAATCTTTGAGGAAGTTTGATTCCTTTGGAGGATTTTTAAGGAAATCTAAGTATTTCAATGTGTGATAAGACACATGCCCAAGTCTGTTATGCCATTCAACAAAACGATCAGTGGATATGGAATGAGAAATTTTATTGATATCAAATATCTGATTACAGGAAAAAGCAGTACATTTTGGGAGATTGGATTGTACTATTAGCTTGTCCCTACTTCTACTTTCTTTGAAAATGAAACTAGACTCATCTAACAAATACAACTTCCCTTCAAGCTTGCCAACTGCTAATACCTTTTCACTCTGCAGGTCCTGCAATAAGCAAGAACCAAGATAGAAAATCAACTTTAGGCTAGCTATTTGGGTGATTTTTGGAACTGACAGAAGATTATACTTGAAACTGGGAACATATAAGGCATTAGTTAGATGCAATTTTGGGTTCAATTCCACATTTCCAACATGGTTAACTGATTTATTTGTTCCATCAGGTAAGCAAATAAGAGTTGGTTGAGTAACAGGAGTCAATTTTGTCATAAGTTTCAAGTCTGTGCATATATGATTACTGGCACCTGTATCAATGATCCAGGTTCCTGATTTCACATAATCAAAAGCAGCCAAAAGTGAGTGATATGAACTCATACCTGCATATTCCCTGATGTGAGCAAAATTCACCTTATTTTCAGCCTCCATCAGCTTCTTTCCTCTCAAGACTTTCATCACTTCCTGTGTTACTAGACTAGCTAAATCTATAGATGTTGTTAAATCCATTTTCCTGCTTTGGCTTGTCTTGTCTTGTCATCCTCAAAATCCAAAGGTGTATCAATCATATTAGCTGAAAAACGCCCATCTCCAAAGCTTCTTGGTCTCTGTTCCTTCTGTGTTTTGAACCAATCTGGATACCCTATCAATTTGAAACAACCATCTCGAGTGTGACCTTTCATGTTGATCACATTGATAAAATTCTTTCTCATTACCAAATTTTCTATTATTTCCTCTGCCTGTGCCATATCTCATGGAATTCCTGTTAAAGCCTCCTCTATTTCCATTATCTCTTCTGTAATCCATTGATCTCACTAACATAGCTGAATTATCATTTGAATCAGGAAAAATATTGTGAACCTCTCTTTGTTTTTCAACTCTCAGCACCATGGAATATGCCTTATTGACTGAAGGGAATGGATCCATCACTAAAACCTGATTCCTTATATTATCAAATGTATCATTTAAACCCATTAAAAATTGCATCAACTGATTGGAAGTAGTCAGATCCGAGATTTCCTTAGATGCTGAACAAATACATGTAGGTATTGGCATTAGACACATTAATTCATCCCAAAGTTTCTTTAGTTTAGTGTAGTATTTTTTAACTGTTAAAACTCCTTGTGAAATGCTCCTCATTTCTCTCTGTATCTAATAAAGCATAGGCCCATTGCACTCACCATATCTTTCCTTCAACTCTGACCATAAATCCTTTGCCGATTTTGTGTAGATGAAAGCTTCTACAATGTCTTTAGCAATTGAATTCAACAACCACGACCTTACCATACACTCTACTCGGATCCATTGCTCGATTTTAGATATATTCTCTGTAGGTTTATCACATTTTCCATCAATGAATCCTAATTTCATCTTAGCTCCTAACGCTATTCTCACAGATCTGCTCCAACTAAGATAATTTTTACCTGTCAAAACAGAAGTAACCTATAATCATACCCGGATGATCTAAATTTTGAAGGTCCAGTGGATCTCTATTCGAATACTCTTTCTCTGCTGCGTCATCTTCTGTTTCTGATCCAGATGTGTTTTGTGCCATATTTTCTTTAGCTAATCAATTGATTCATTA